GAAATGCTCTTCGGTAAGGGGGGGATAGTGAGCCGTGCTAAAGGTCAGCTCGCTCACGAGTGATGTCATGGCGGCTGCCATTTCTGGATTCCATCCCCACTCCTAAGTATGGTGACATATGTCACGTGACCCTATACCACCTCGTAGTCTCGGAAAGAGAATAGATGTACATCACAGTCTTTCAGACGAAGTCGGCCTGGAAGGACACTTACCAGTCAGCAGGCTTTGTTGCTGAAAATTCTGGTTTCGGCTGAGGTGTTTCTAAATTCCCTTCAGTATTACCTGGCTGGCTGGTAAGGTAAAGGCTGCCCGCGATTGCAAGCCGTTGGCTGAAGGCTTGCGATATGCGTTATTATTTTCTTTATTTCCCTTCAGGATTATTATTGTGTTTGTCATAGGCTAACTTGTTAACGCCCAAAGGTAAGTTCCAAAGCTGGGGCGAGATACTTCATTTGTTGACCAAAATTGGTGGCGATGGGCAATTACTTCGCGATCGAGATTAGGTGTTGTACCCAATTTCTTTTCTACCATGAATATGTATTTCTTGTTATTTTTGTGTAATTTATTTTCTTATTAAATCTGTATTTATTGTTATCTGAAGCCAATGAAACATTGTAGCTCCTCCACCTAGCTTGGATACCCCACGTTTATCTAGGCAAGCATGCGAATGCAACAATAGAGCCAGGAGCCTCCCTCTTCACTTCTCTTGTATGTGAGTGGCATTTAAAAGAGAGAAGAAGGGACGGGCGCGATTCAAGACATTTCCAGCATCTGCATTAATCTACAAGTTTTATTTGTGATGTTTTAAGAGTTAGGTCTGTTGGTTCCACCAGCAGTCCAAATCTACACCACCCAACTGTATGAAGGAACACCATCAATGCTGTCATTTGCATTATTAATTATAAGCTACTAAGTGTGAACGAAATGCAATACCAGATAACAAAGGATGAAACACGACTGACCCAGCACCCGCGGGCACCAAGAATGACATCTGGTCTTCCTTAGAGACAAGAAAGCTGTGTAACTCGTGGACACAGAACAGAACAGGAAGTATCCCACTGCGTTTTCTTGGAATTTTGATGAACTTCAGCAATATGAGTATTTGAAAATTTGAGACTTGACAGATACAGCCCGCCATAATTTTCAGGGACGCATGTCGAGCAATCATTAGTGTACCTTCATTTATTAGAGCGCTGTCAGGAGGACCATCTAGTACTCAAGGCCCAGATTTGATTGGATCTAGTTAGGGATTGGTGAAATGCAAATGAGACCAACACTCCAATTTTAGGTGCAGCCAATCAACAAAATTCAGGAGAGGAAACTGGGCGTTCCCAAAACAGACAAGACTTCTGGCTTCTTCAGAACGATCAGTTGTCTAGGAGAGTAACAGTGGTAGTAAGGCCGGGTCATAGCTCAAGTGGTTAGTTGCTGGCTTCCCACCGCAGTGGCCCAGGTTCAATCCCTGGTCTGGTCAAGTGGGATTTGTGGTGGACAAAGTGGCGCTGTGGTGGGTTTTCTCCGAGTACTTCGGCTTCCCCTGCCAATCTTCATTCCACCAAATTCTCCATTATCATAATCACCTGGGGCAGGCTACAATAGGCCAATTAGTGGCTACCATGCCAAGTGTACCCAGTTGGACTCCACCCCCACTAAGGGAATCAAAAAAAAAAAAAAAAAGAGGTAGCATTGTGACATTTGGACCTCCTGGACATAAATTCTATAGGCATAAATCATTATGAGTGAAATACAATTTTATTTGACCAAGTAGTCAGCAAGTAAGAACGTGATCGATGTAAATGAGGGTTAACGAGCTAAGTTACATGAGTGAACGAGCGTGTGAGCTCCATGTAACTCACACAGACAGTGAACAGATCCAACAAAGAACCTTTATGGGAGGTACGGCACACGCCAGGATTTAGGACAGCAGTGTCAGTTGTAACAGCATAGCTTGCAGGATAGGCTGGTATGTACAATGATTATCAAGTGTCACTGTAGTGCCCAGGCGCTTGCTACCAGGTTCGTAAACCAGTGCTACAGGCTTATACTAGGTAACTCTCTTTCATGTCTGCTATCAAGAGTGACAGTGTCGAGTGATGTGTGTGTTCCAAGTGTTCCTCATCTCATTGTGCAAGCAAGGCCCATAAGTCGCCCTGAGACAGTATCTTGTCCTACCAATCGAGCAGTCGATCTTCCAAGTGCCCACCATTCAACGTCCCCTCGTCCCCTCTTCCCCTCCTTTCCCCAACTTGTGGATTGTACCAAAGTCCACTGGCGCCCACACCAATTCAAATCCAGAGTAAATCCTGCAACCTACTCTAAGCTAGATAGCAACGAGGAAGCAGCGGATAAAAATGAAAAGTGGAGAAGCCAGGCAAGATCAACGCAGGCGTGGACACCACCCAGCAGCTGTAGTGACCACTACGATGAAGGTAGGTGAACGACCCAGAAAACGGCAGGCATCAATCGACACAGAAGACCAAAAAAGGGGCAGTCAAACAACTTTGACAGGAAAGTCTAACTCTTCTGCCTGAGTGGGTCTACAGTCAATGGGATGATCCTAAAAAGGTGACCCTATGCTCACAGTCCATGTATCTTTCCTACTGCACAAATCCTTTAAATTCCTTAACATAATTACCACATTTCCTATATATCCTCATGCTTTGAGCTATGGAAACTATCTGAAATACTATCTTTATGTAATGATGCAGAAAAATAAAGAATCACAAATGTCCTGCCATTGGACACATCTTTCAGTAATTGTAATCTCTTATGGTATACATAAAGTACTAAGAGTTTATGAGAAGTGTTAGTATACTTCTTACAAAAAACAAAAATGCTATACTCCATAATATACTGAAGATCATCTATATAATATCTACAAAAATAAAGTAGTTCAAAACAAGGTAATGTCTAAATATTTTTGTTGCTGTGTTAAATGAACATTACTATTATTTTGGATGTTGTCTGTTGTCTACAGTTTCTTTCAACACACTGTTCCAGAAACTGGAAATGTTCCTGCTCAGTTATGATAATTAGAGAGAGTTAGTCTTGATTACTGGACACTAAAAGAAGTTCTAATCAGAGCATTCATTCTGTTAATGACATAAGAAATAAGAATAGAAACATTCTAGGAAAGTTATCACAATAAAATGAAACTGAAATACCCCCCCAGGGAGGCCTATAATGAATCAGCCACTATAAACACCTTAAAAAATGACAGGTCCAGGCATCACTAGTGAACTGGGGACAAATGATACAATTCCCAATTATAAGCAATGATAGGCAGAATCTAAATCAAGGAAATTCAACTGGCTTATGGATTGGTCACACAAGCCAGGTGGACCAGTGCTTTGCATTTCGTACATACATTACTTGATTCAATTTGTAAAACCATACCAACTTATAGTGACCACCATATGCATACTGGGCTAGTTTTGATTTTTTCAACAGGGTCTGTTTGAGATTCTATCAGTTTCTTGAGACATACCATATGTCACTGATGGACCTCTGAATAGAATAGAAAAATTAACAATAAAAATTATGAAAAAGTCACATGAAAATTTTTCCTTTTGTTTTTTATGGTCCTCATATTAAGGGAAGAACATAAACTGAGGGTGCTGAGAATATCTGGACCTAAGAGGGAGGAAGTAACTGGATGGAGAACATTTCATAATGAAGCGCTTCATAATTTGTACTTCTTGACATGAATTACTAGGATGATCAAGCTTAAGATGAGATCAGTTGAGCATATAGCAAGCATAGTAAGAAAACTGCGGTTCTGATAGAAAAGTCAAGGAAAGAACCATGTGCAAAACTTAATGGACCTTAAAGAAATAGGAAGGAGAGTGTAGGGTGCATTCATCTGGTTCATGACAGGGACCAGTGGCAGGATCTTGTGAACACAGTAATGAACCTTCCTGTTGCATAAAATGCTGATAATCTGACTAGCTGAGGAACTATTAGATTCTTAAAATACACTGCTCCATGGAGTTAGATAGTATCCACTGACAGAGACATAGCCTGTTCTTATCAAAATCATTACCAAACTGAAATCCTAGTTCCTTTCTCATACACAATCATATTGGAGCTTATTCTATTATGGTAAAATCCAATGCAGTGTTCTTATATTAAATGATTTGTTCCCCTGGTTCCAATCAAACCTTTATATAAAGAAAGCATTACTTCTCCACATCATGTGAATTTTGAGTTTCTAAATAAACCACATGTAGTGCAAAATGTGTTCAACCTAGACTCAGTACAGTTGTGGTTAAAACAATAATCAATATTAACATGTTACTTCTGTTCTAGAAATTGTTACTGATTAATTTTATATTATTGATTATGTAATCATACTTCTTTGTGCAGAAACAGTTTATTTAAATACTTACATAAGGTAATTATTTTACCATAATCATATAAAGTAAGTCATAAAAAAATGAACATTTTCTTGATATGACTCTTTCAGTGAAAACCATGACTTAATGTAAGAAAAGTTATTGGTCAGAGATTCATTAAATAGGGATTTCACTGTATTATATCTAACTCTTCCATTCTCTCCTTAAAGCTTGGTTGGAAAAATTACAGCCCACAGGCTAGCTCTGTCCCTCAGAAGGAAACTGGCTTATACATATATGAAGAACATAAACATCAAGCATTCAGTTACATTAAGCCATAATCATATGTTTCGTTTTCCTTCAGACATACATTTTCTTTCAACTGTTGTACTAATGTGTTTTGAGTGACCAGATAATAATAAGAAGGCAAAATTGTCCCTTTTGTTTAACGAGTTAAGCACTATGCCATGAAGGCATATGGGGGAGTGGATGTACAGATCCACATTTTCTTGGCTTAGGCACTAGCTGGAGGTGAGTACCAGATAATACTAGTAATCAAGCTGAATGTTTGCCTGTTCCTACCTTAATAATACTAGTACAGATCACACATTCTATACCAGTTGAGGAAGTTGATTTTACAATTTATTTGCATTTCTGTACACTCACATTTGTGATTCCACTGCAGTTTCATCATCATCATCATCATCGTCACTAATGAGAGCCTCTTCAGGATATCCTAGAGTTCTCACTTGATCTTCAGTGACAGCACAAGTTAAGAAGGACCAGATAGGGATTATTCGGTATCTGCCAATGCATTCAAACACCCATTCATGTCCAACAGGGAGTACCCCATAGCGCTCCCACCATTCTGAAACAGATTTAGAATGTGATACTTACAAACTTCTTATTTCTATCTTGGTTTTCACAGCAGTGGCTATAAAGAGTTGCAGCTTCTGGGATATAATGATATGTAGTCTTGTAAAAATCAACATTTCGTAGAAACACATCACCTCCATCATCAGGAAGATTAGGCCAGGGAAGAAACCAGCAGGCAGCAGCCAGCAAACTTCCCCTGACTACACATTGTTATATCCCATCCCATAAGAAACTTGTAGGCTTACTGGCAGACTACATGGAGAAGAGTCCTCTTGAGAAGCCGATGTTTGCTCAGCTGTTCAAGTAACTGCATACCCTTTATGAAAATCAAGGTTCATTACCATGTTCACAATAGCCTGCCACAGGACTATATCCTGAGCCAGTTGAATGCAGTCCACTCCCTCACACCCTATTCTTTGAGATCCACACTATTTGCCTACATATAAGATTCCTAATAACAAAATTGTACATAATAAAAATGTAAAATTATCCCACCACAAAAGTGAGCAACTGTATTATGAATTTATCGGATCCCATGAACTAGTCCTTAATAAATTATTAAGTCATCAATCTGGAAACCACATAACTGCAGCTTCTTGTGCTCCATATTTCAGACACATCATCACATTCATATTGTCACATGTTAAGTCACTAGAGACAGAGTCTGGATTGGTAATTCTTGAAACTCGTAAATACAATTATAGTGCTATTGCTAATCCACATACTCTACAGTTCACTACAGCAAGCACTAATTCTTCCCAGCCTGTTGTGTCTTCACTGGATGTCGCCTGGTAACGGCTCCCAGTGCCATAGATTCCTCTGCTTTTGTGCTCAGCAGCTCCTGTCTTTGCTAGCTGGCGACTGTCTAACAACTCTTCATGGCCACAACCCTGGCCACTGCCTCCTAGCTGTGTCTGGCCTCCACTGACCACCCCTTGCTATCACTGGCTATGACTGACTGAAGACTGCATGTCTCCAAACTTGACTGCTCGCTAACCAGAGTCTGAGTCGGGGTTACTTTACGGCTGGTGGTTTATCGCCAATTAGTTCGTCTTGGCACTGAGCCTCTTCAGGAGTGACTGTTAACCACTAGTTTCGGTTCTCCTGATATAGCCTCGGGGCAGAACCCACAGAAAACACCACCTACTACAGTTTCTCTGTTGTTGTGCACATAAGCATGGCAGTTTCTGCTAGCTTCACAGTTCTGCCTTCCAGCAGATATGCCACAGTACTACACTATGTAGTAGTTTGGTGGGTGGGTAGGTTCCAACAGTTCAGAGGAACACACTGCCTCCACCATCAGGGCTCAGTGAGCCATGTTGTAAAAGCAACTGGTGAAGTGAAAGTAGGGCCTCTTTACTGTTTGCAACCAGGCAGCTTTAATATGGCCAGTTTATAACAAAATAAAACTAATATTAACATGTTAATGCTGTTTTTCTCTATACCACTACATGTTTCAGTGTGATCATCATCAGGTGGTTACAATAAGTACATAACCGTCAGCATTGAGTTGTCTGACTAATATGATCCCTATTAGTGAACATCATGAATTAGATATTAAAGGTCTAAATTTTGAGCATGTATTTTTGACTTTCTTATAATGTGACAAGTTTAAAAGTTGACAATTATATAATAGAACAGGCATGTCCAACTTCAAACAGGTTGTGATCGACTTTTTAGTGTCAAGACTGCTGGTGATCTACCACCCCCTCTTATCGTCATACCTCACTTTAAGCAAAAATATTGGTAAAAATAACAGGACACATGATGTTTGTTCTAAAAGCAACTAGTAACTGGGCTGTGTCTCTGATGTCTATAGATTCATCCAGTAGGAGGGAGAAAGCAACACAATTGGAGACATCTTTCAACAACTGTTCAGTTATGTTTCCACACATCATTTCTATTCACCGAACAATGGTGTTTCTTGATACTTAAAGTTCTTGGATAGCAGCTATGATCTCTTTCTTATTTTATATTACAAGTGAATTTACATGCTTTTCACGTATAAGTTCCTTATAGGCCTATGAGATCGACTAAAAATCGTCCTGCAATCAACCAGTCGATCGTGATCGACATATTGGACATGCCTGTAATAGAATATAACTGCAATGATCTTCATAATACATTCCCTTGAGGTTTGTATGATTTATAGTGATTAGATATGTATTGAAAATGTATATGTGATGCAGTTCTGATGACCTTTTATGAATGTGTTTTTCTCTTCAGTGTATATCACTGGTTATGTCATTCACTCTCTGACAATCAACTACTACACTTAAGCACTGATATATACCGCATATACGTATTGAATATATGTATTGAATAAAATAATTACATAACCATACAGTGTTGTGTTGATGGCCACATTAAATGCCCCTGAAAGTAAGGTGTCACACAGACTGGAGAGGCCAATCACAGCCTTGGATGGGGAGCAAGGATGAGGCCCAGGCAGGCCAATGGGAACTGTGGACTTCTAAAAAGGGCATCTACTACAAGACAGTAGGAAAAGGAAAGGTTACATAAATGCACCTGCACAAGAGGAACAGTAATAAGGAGAAAAGTAATCAAATGAGGAGTGGCCGATGATCTGGACAAGACACCTGGGTGGCAACATATGGGCCAGATTGTTAAGGGAATTATAGAGACTGAGCTCATCCCAACTACATGAATACAGAAAATGGTTTCTGCCTGAGCTACTAGTGGAATCCTCACATCCTACAGGTATATAGTAAGGCCCAATTCAGTCATGTCTCTCCTCTATGCACAGTTCTGAAGCCGAATATTTCTTCTCTACCTTGATGGACAGGGCACTTTTTTACATTTCCCTTCTGTCCTGGAGTTGCCCTCTCCAGGGCCTACAGTCCAAATGAACGCCTCTTCCTTCCAGGCCTGTGAAGGGCTCTTTGCCCCTCTTCATTCTTTGCAGGGACACTCTGTGCAAATGCAGCTTCTGCTCTTGTTTTCCCCCTGGGTCTCATCTCCCTTTTCCTTTCCCAGACTCTGACCAGCCACTTCCTTCCATGACCCATTTCTTTCACACCAGCCATACATAACCCACAACTTTCTCTAATTGATTCACTTTGACACTGAAGGTATGTGCAAAATGCTGCTCAGAAACACTGGTACACACCTATCACACTACAACATGGTGTATTAGCACAGAAAAACACAATATTAATTTTCTAGACATCAAATCCTATATACAATGGATCCCACATAAAAAGATTACATTTAAATTGTTTCCCACCTAAAAAGCTTAAATCATTGGGTCCCAAAAGTAACGCCATAAGAATAATGTAGTTGTATTGCAATTCCATTGTCCCCCCCCCCCAAAGGACATCCCACCTAAGAAGAGCAGTTTTATAGACATTACAGAACAATTTACATTTAACAAATTTTTAACATATACATATACAAACTGGAGCATGCGGTAGCATAGTTGGTTGAGGCACTATGCTACAAGCTGGAAGGTCGCAGCATCAAATCCCGACGAGGTGGATTTTTTCAATTTACCTAATCCTATAACACTATAGCCCTGGGGCTCACTCAGCCTCTAACAGAAATAAGTAACAGTAATATTCTTGGAATATTTTTTCAGCTAAAGGGCAGCCAGCACGTAAGGCTGACAAACTTACCGCCATCTATGAGCCGATTGTCTAGAAAATATGGGAAACTCAACATCTCACAACCCTATGGGTCTCCACGGCCTGTTACAGGGATACCTTTAATTTCTTTTACTTTTACATATACAGAAATAAATGAGAGACACAATGAATGATCACATAAGGCAAACATGTTGCAGCGCATAGTAGCAATTAGTAGTACTTGGTGAGTGGAAGTTGGGCACAATTAGTGATGACTTCCTAAACTTCACCATCCATTTATGTGTGGATGGTTATATACAGTGAACAAGTGTCATTCATAAGATTATGTGGAAGTAAACTTATTTTATATAGCTGTATGCTCTATAGCTAGAAAACAAAAACTCTTCAGCAATGTGTAACTACCCAACCAGGCAGAAAGAACTACAAAAACTTCTAAACATGACAAGACTGAATCAGTGCTCCTAGAGCAGTTCAAGCAGAAATGGGCATAAAATGCATCAATTCAAAGTCCAGTGTTAAGATTGAAGCTGAAGAAATAGCTAGAAAATTAAACATTGAATTCATGCCTTCAAATGGATGGCTTAACAGATACAGAAAATGTGCCCAGCTATAGAACCACAAGCACAGAAACCAAAAGCATAACCAAAGGAGAAGTAGATGCTGGGAAGATGGTAACACTTCCATCACTTCTGAGTGAATACCATCCTTTGCAGGCAAAACATACACGTTCAAAGATGAAAGCTCCAGTGGGGCAAAAGCAGTAAAAATAGAATTACTTTGCTTGTATGTGCAATATACATGGATCTGAAAAGATTACATTGCTGGTAACTGGAAAGTCAGAAAATCCTAGGCATTTCAAGCATGAGAAGTCCCTGCCATTTACACAGACATAACAGTAGTGCATGGATGACATGTCTTGTTCCTGACATCTTTGGAAACTATAATGGCAACCAGAAACCAGAGAATGCTGTTTCTAGACCAGTACGCACTACCATATCCTGAGTGGCATTCCTGATGTGCCAGTGAATTGTCAGAAACCTCTGCAAACTGGAAAATTATCCTTCAAATTTGTAAGAAAGACAAGTAAAACAAGCGATACTAGATATGGCCCTGAAGAAAGAATGGCATTTCAGAATAGACTGTCTGACTTTAAATATGACAGCAGGAACATGCAGTGCACATTTGAAAGTATGTATATTTAGTGTTGTTTTAGTGATTTATTCAGTATAAGAATATGTTTATTTTGATATACTATGTATAATACAGCCTTGCAAATGCAACACTTTGTTGGTTACTGGTTAACATCACTTAATCTACGAGTATATTGCCTGTACACTTCATGACGTGTTTCCAACATATGAGGCCATCATCAAGCATGTTGTATGACTGTTAGACTATTCAACTGCACTGCATCATTTCACTGTTTGTAAAACATATAATGTAAAAGTCTAAACGTTTTGTAGTTTTTTAAAAACAAGGTAACAAGCTAAATGGCTAAAAAAAACTAAATAACTTTTAGACTTTTACAGTTCCTTTTTATTGCTAGTGGGGTGGGACTAAGTCCCTTGTACTGTGGCCACTTCTGGCCTATTGTACCAGCCCCAGTGATAGGTGAGGGTGATTATGCAGCAATTGGTGGAATGAAGATTGGCAGGGGAAACCAAAGTACTTGGAGAAACCCTGCCCCAGCGCCACTTTGTCCACCACAAATCCCACTTGACCAGATCCTGGATCGAACCCGGGCCGCCGTGGTGGGAAACCAGCGACTAACCACTTGAGCTATGGCACGACCTTGACTTCTACAGTTTATGCACAGTGAAGTGGTACAGGGCAGTGTAACAATTTAATGAATCATATATACCTGATTATGATGCCATATGGACAAAGCATTTTGTAACATACATGAAACATAGATCAAGTGGTGCTTAACCAATACTCTATGAAGTGCTGCATTTATAGGATTGTACAGCTATCACCTATGTATATCAAGTGCCAAAACAATGCAATACAATGCTCAGATATACTCATACAATGTTTATTTCACTGATTTTGTACAAGAGATGTGGGGCATGCAGTAGTGTAATTAGTTGAGGTACTATGCTACAAGCTGGAAGGTTGCAGGCTAAGTTTCTGATGAGGTCACTGGATTTTTCAATTAACCTAATCCTTCTAGCCACACTGTGGCCCTGGAGGTTGACTCAGCCTCTAACATAAATGAGTACCAGGAATCTTCCTGGGAGTGAACAGAGGATGGCACATAAGGCTGATAACCTCACTGCCATCTGTGAAGAAAATGTAGGAGCCTCAACATCTCACAACACTATGGGCCTCCATGGCCTGCTACAGGGATAGATTATTTTCCCCTGCATAAGAGATGTAATTAATTTTATGAATAGTCTGAAACCTACCCCTTCAAGATGTTTTCTCTCTTAACAAGCTTGTTTCTTGGTCTCTTGGAAAACTTCTTAAAAGGCATCACCATATGATTACCATTTCATTTTACTGATTAGGCTAAGACAGGTAGTCTTCCAGATGTCTAACCAATAAGATGTATAAATTAAAATTTAAGACATTTATTTTATACAACAAATCTTCAGAATCACACACAAGGTACTATTTCTTGTGAAACATAAGTTCAATATTAACTACACTCAGAAATGTGTCCAATGGGCCTTCACACTAATGGTGCTGGAAGTTCAGCAGGTCCTGTTATCAGAGTTACACAGTCTCCTACCACCTCCCCTAAAAATGGTGTGTCCTGTATACTAAAATGAGAATCTGTGTGCTGTAGCCTCAAATCCAATGTCAGCCTATACATAGAAACCCAGTTATCACCTACCCTTGCACTCTTCTCTCTTTGCTTCCATATGGACAATAATCATACAATAATGTCCAGCTTTGAATGAGAACTCTCCAGGATGACTCACGGTTACTGCTCCACATTCTTTCAAAATTTCCTGCAGAACAAAATAAATAAATATTAAAAATACTATCACCATCTGTGTGGTGCAGTTTAAATGTGCAATTGATGGATTAATTCAAATATTTAGAGTACACCTTCCATACTTTTCTTTCTTACAAAAAGGCATACATTGCTACATAAATATGTGAAGACTATCTTCTGAAATGTGATGCCATATAGTCTGGAAGAAGTTTGCTGACATTTCAGAGTAACATGCTGCCCTCTGCTTGGCTTACTCGGCTGACTCTACAACCCTAAAAATGGTGGCAGTATGTTTTTCTGAAACACAGTAAGCATCTATCAAACTTCACAGTGGAACATTCCAGAAGGCAGAACACTTCAGCCACACCCTATTTATATACCACTGTTCCAAAGTCCAATGAAACTTAATGAAAATAAAAACAAGAACTTCTTGGAAGAACTGATCACTTACTTTCCTTCCATTACATATTGAGTATCTGATAAAACACAGACTGCATAGAAAACACTGCATTCAACAGCTCTTCCTGTGTGAGTCTTCATTGCTGTGGGAACATGTTTACTGAGTCACTGCCCAGCAAAATTAGAGGGAGACACACAGATAGCAAGACGATCTCATAAGCCTGCTTTTATTTTTTCAAAATAAGGAAAGCAGGCTAAATAATCAGCATAAAAATGAGCAGTAGTCACATTGGTCCACATATGAGCTGCTATTAGAAAGTTCCCAGACTAGGTCAAAAAATAAATGCTGGCTTAACTTACTCAATTTTGACTGCCATCTCCTTCATAATAGTCTACTTGGGAATGTACACAGCCATCCCATCATTTCTTCCATGCTTCGGAAGCACCAGGGAAGTCATTTTCCTAAATGCTGTCAAGTACTGCTTGCAATTTCCCTTGGATGTCAGACAGTGTTTCAAAATGTCATCCCTTCAGCTTTATTTTCAATTTGGGAAACAAAGTGAAACCACAGAGGAATAAGTCCAGTGTGCAGGGAGGCCAAGAATGAAAACCATGTTGTTTTTAGTCACAGAGTCTGTGGTTTTCAGGGCCGTGCGGATGGGCGAATTTTCACGATGGAGCCAGTTGTGGCTGTGCAAAAGTTCCATTTCTTTTCATTGCACATTTTCTCTCAAGCGTATCAAAACATCACAGTTAAAGTCAGAGATGACCATAGTGTTAGGAGGAACAAATTCACAGTAAACAATTCCCTTAATGTAAAAAAAAAAAAACCAATGAGCATGCTCTTCGTTGAACTCCAGACCTGCTGCACATTTTTTGCTCTTGGTGATTGTGGGCTTTTCCACTGTGACAATTGTTACTTTGTTTCTGGATCATAACTGTAAATCCAACTTTCGTCACAGGTTATGATCCTAAAGATAAAAGATGGGTCCTCATTAACCTTCTCTTGTAGCTCAAGACACATTTATGCGCTACTGCTTTTGATGACTTTTCAAGAGCCAGGGAACAAACTTTGCAGCAGTGCAGTACATGTTCAATGTTTCTGTTAAGATCTCCAGGCAAACTCCATAACTGACCCTAGCAGTGTCTGCCAGCTCATGGATTGTTCGGTGATGGTCTTTATGGATGAGTTCTCAAATTTTTTCAACATTTTCTGTCATTTTGCTGGTGCTTGGTCATCCTGAACATTTGTCATCTTCAACTGACACTCAACCAGCTTTGAAATATGAATGCCATTCAAAAGCCGCTGTCCAGCTTAAAGAATGTCCTCCAAAAGCTTCATGAAGCATTTCAAGGGTTTTCGTAGCAGATTTACCAAGCTTCACACAATACTTGATGCAGACACGTTGCTCGATTTTTCTGTCCATCACAAACAAAAAGAAACATGAAGTCAAAAGCACTCATGTAAAAACAATGTGCTCACAGAACAGTGTCATGTGGCAGACTGATAAAATAGGCTTGCAGAAGTGTGACCTTGGCCTCCACTTCTATCTTCTTTCACCAAGGCAGTTACAACAATAATAGTCTGGGAACCTTCCGACAACACCTTGTTTCTACCATATGATGATCCGAAGAAGAGAATGTCGTGTGATTTGGATGCCATTGTTGTGGACACCTTTCAGTGCACAGACATGCGGTGGGTGCACTGTTATGCTTTGCTGCACTATACAGTACTATATCTGTCATTTCATCAAATGAATACTTTGCATTCTGCATTCAATATGTAACGTGTCTATCATCGTAAACTCCACAACACCAGAACATCAACAGTACTGAACTCATACCAGTCTGTAGACACATCCAACGATACAACGCACGCAGCCACAAGAGTAGAACACATCATAAGACATACGAGTAATATACACACATTAGAAACATAAGAAGAACGACCCCCACGTAGATGATTAATAATACACACGAATTTAAAATATGATGTATGAGATAACAGGTTTTAACAAGTTTTAAATACATAAACTTTATTATTATATAAGGACATATACTAATTTAATATTATTTGTAAATGAACATATAAAGGTAAGCAGTGAAATGGTTGACGGATCGATACACCTGAAGATGGCAGCATACTGCCGAAACATGTAGTGTAGAAGTGCTAAATGGGATTGTATGCACTTGAAGACTGTTAATACATACACATTATGAATATGAATCAGTGCAACAGGACGCTAAAATACAACATAAATAACTGCTCCATCCATTTTATGGTGCTATCTCATAGTTGCCATATTTCACTAATGAAACATTTTCAATAGTGTATTTATATGAATGTTTCTGCTTGTCTGTAAGTGTAAAACATGATGCTTATACAGAATGTCCAGATGAAAGGTATCCAAAATAAAATAATTATATCTGAGAAAGCATTTATTACACACACTTATGGGTTACACCAGCCCTGTCCAACGCAGCGTCCGTGATATATTTTTCTGGCGCCCTCCGTAAGCACATATAATTGACCCGATTTTTAATATTAATTCAAATTGTAAGATGATTCATTTTTGATCGTCTGAGTACTGTTAAATATTTTCACAAAATTTCCTTGAAGCATGGTACAGTATTAAACATTCCTTGAAAATGTATGCCTATTTCTTTGCTCCCTTGCAAACAATACCAGTCTTAATTCTTTTTCACTAGAGAAACCGTCATTCTCTCAAGATCAGGTAATTTTCCCTAGCGGTATTTTTACCCCCCTCAAACAGCCGCAAGTCCCCACTGAATCGGCTTTCATGGATTTTGGATTTATGGTCAGGGTACCATAAAATTTTCTGTGATCGGCAGGGCAAACATATTCACCGACACGAACATGACTATGGGGCCCAACTTACTGAAATTTCCCCAATTTATAAACTCATCGGCAATATGAATCAAAGTTACTTTAATCCCAACAAAGCGATGCTGCAAACAATAAGAAGTTATTAAGAGGGTCGTACACTAATGGAAATTGGTAGTAGCTATATTTCCAAGTTCACTTTCTTCAGCCAAACATTCAGTATTACTTGCGAGTTTGTGACGACCATAGTTCAGTTGTTATGTGTCTTGTGTTGTGACAAGTAGTACATTCAAATAGTTACACAGTTTTCAGTGTATTTTAGTTATTGTGCTTCAAATTATTGAGCAAATAAGCAGTACTACGAGTATTTTATATAGCTATTCTTGATATGGCTAAAAGACAAAGAAGTTATAGTTTTAACAGTGAATGGGAGGAGTATTGTTTTATTGAATACAGAGGAAAACCTGTGTGTTTATTGTGTAATAGTAGCGTGTCTGTTCCTAAAAAAAAGTAATGTAGAGCGACATTTTTTGACTAACCACAATAACTTCAATAATGAATTTCCTATGAAATCTGAACTAAGAAAACAAAAGGTGAAAGACATAAAATCTATATTAGCCTTGCAACGTGTATTTACAAAGCCTATCCAGCAAAGTAGTAACATAACAATAGCTTCTTATAAAATCTGTCATGTGCTAGCTAAAAGGAAAAAACCTTTCAGTGATGGTGAAATAGTTAAAAAAGCTATGATCAGTGCCGGCGAGTCTCTGTTCGATGATCACAAAGATAAATCAGCACTTATGTCTTCTATCAAAGGACTTCAGTTGTCTCACCAAACTGTTCCTAGACGAGTTGAACAGATTTCTGATAATCTGGAATCTCAACTACATCAGGATTTGCAATCGTGTGAATATTTTCCACTCCAGCTTGATGAAAGCACTGATATATTGGATGTTGCACAATTATGTGTATTTGTCAGAATGGTTTTTGGCGATTTTACGGTAAAGGAAGAGTTCGTTAAACTGCTGCCACTTCTTGAACATACTAGGGGAGAAGACATATTTAATGTGTTCCTTAAATTTGTGAAAGAATGTAACTTACCATTTTCTAAACTTGTTGCTATAAGTACAGATGGGGCGCCTTCAATTACTGGTAGGAACAATGGGTTTCTTGCTCTTTGTGCTAAGGATGAATCATTTCCCAGTGTTCTTTCTTATCACTGCATTATCCACCAGGAAGCTTTATACGCAAAGGTTTTGAAGTTTGACCGTGTTATGAATGTAGTAACTTGTGTGGTAAATTATATCAGATCGTCTTCTACTCGTCATCGATTGTTCAGAAATCTTTTGAATGTGTCGGACACTGAGCATGGTGACATAATTTTCTATGCAGACATAAGGTGGCTTAGTAGGGGGAAAACACTGGAACGATTTTTCTGTCTTCTGGATGAGGTCAGGGACTTTCTGAAATCATCTCCTGGCCAATATTATCAAGAACTTGATGAAATATCATGGCTACTAGATTTAGCTTTCTTGACAGGTATCACCTCAAAATTAAATGAGTTAAATCTTGAATTACAAGGGAAAGATTGTAACATTTCAAGCATGATAAGTGTAGTTAATGCTTTTCAAAAGAAACTAAAGCTATTGATTGCACATTTAAAAAGAAATTCCCTTTCACATTTTCCACATATGAAATCTGTTGTGGAAACCTTAAATGGCTGTGAATACGACCTTCCATCTTTTGCCCAGCATCTTGAAGCCCTTGCGACCAAATTTGGTAATAGATTTAGCCAATTTTCAACACTTGAACCAGTGACAACGTTTATCAGCAATCCATTCGCTACTGTTGACGTTAGTGAACTTGGAGGAGAGGTGTGTGAAATCTTCGGAAAGTATAATCTTGAAGAATTAGAAATGGAAATTTTAAATTTCCAAGAAGACTTATCTTTGAAATCCTCATTTGCAACTTGTAGCAATTTCTGGACTCTGGTGGACAGGAATAAATATCCCATGATTCATAGCATTGCTCTGAAAATTTATTCTTGTTTTGGTTCGACGTATCTGTGCGAAGTCGCATTTTCATCTATGAGCATCATCAAAAATAAGTACCGATCCTGCCTAACAGACTCACACTTAGATGATGCACTGATGTCTGTTCCAGCTACATACCAGATTTTCGACAACTTGCAGCTAACGTACAGTGTCAAATTTCACACTAATTACATAAGATTGTAAGTAAATATAATTATATTAACAAAAGATTTAGTCAGTATTAAATTTCTAATTATTTTATTATTATTATTATTGTTTTACTGTTGTTATTATTAGTAGTAGTAGTAGTAGTATAAGTAGTAGTATTAAGAAGTAGTAGTAGTAGTAGTAGTAGTAGTGTGATGGCGCCCGCACCTCCAT